TCTATAAGAGTGCATCCCTAATAATTACCTTTGTCCGACAAAGGGGCTGATCCTGTCACTATGATCACCCACTCAGATGAATTCTCAGACTGTCCCAACATACCCAGGTTTTGACCCCCGCTAAGGATCTCACCGATTGGTACATCAAAGACAGCCCAATCCGACACCTAGTGTAGTATCATAATCGAGTCTAGGGGTTGGGTGTAACTTTCCAGTTTTGCCTATTAATCTCTAAGGTTCAGAGCAATACTGGAAATTTGGTCCAGTTCAAAGATTCAATTAATCCTACACTGTATATGCCTAGGGTCTCTCCCTAGCAGCTGAAACAGGCCACCCCAACCGACTTGGTGGCACAATAGTGTCAGCTTTATCAAGATAGGTCTCCCCAGACCGACCCACTGGCTGTGAACATTCTAAACTAACACGAATCTCATTAAGTGTCTAATTTAAGGGTATTACACAGAAACATACCAAGGGAACATGAATCAAATATGCACTTTTATTCATTTACAATAAATTCATAAAGTACATTCTGATTGAAGCTAAGGGCATACAAAACTGTCCAACAGTTCTTCTATGTGATGAGATACGAAACCGTTACTCCATCTCCTTTTTGTTTTTTCTTTTCTCTCGTGGCATTGGCACGACTCCTCTGATGTTTGAATGCTGTATTTTGGAGTTTGGCTGAACTAGGTAGCTCCTGTTGCCTATGTTACTCTGAGTAAATCATGTTCAGTCAAATTGATTCTTTTTCACTTATGAGATTTGTGTAGTTCCCATGGTCAAGCAAGTGCGCGACATGAAATTGACGCAAATCCAATCTGTCAAACTGGTAAATCGCATTTGTGAACAACTTTCATCCATGGAAACTGATGAGATGCTAGAGTGCTTCCTCAATCCCGCCGTTTTGAACATAGCCGCAGAGCATGGAAACACTGAGGTCGTCATTCAGTGCTGTGAGTATTTTCCTGATCTTTTATGGTTGACAATGAAGGGAAGAAGTATATTTCATGTTGCAGTTGAGCATCGCCAAGAAAAAATTTTCAGTCTTGTATATGGTATGAGTGCACGTAGAAGGCTCTTGACTTCTTTGAGAGTTGATGATTCCAATACCATGTTGCATATGGTGGCAAAGTTGGCACCTTCCCCACAACTTAATGTAGCTTCTGGTGCAGCTCTGCAAATGCAGCGAGAACTTCAATGGTTCAAGGCAATTCTTCTTACCCATTTGTCCATGGTTTTTAATTAATAATATTTCGATTTGGTGAACGGCTCTGATAGATTATGATAGATATACCTCGATGCTTCTACTGTTGTAGGTACTGTAATTGCTATTATCTTACCATCATCTGTTTTTTGTGAATAATTAAAACTAGAGAAACACATGAACATGGAAGACAAGATTCAATGTGGTTTGGCAATGGCTTCTTATGTTCATGGATGAACCCCTATGGGATTGACTAAGTTCATCACAAACCCTAATTCAACCCCTATTAATTCTGTTTAACCATTGTGAAATTATGATTAATTATTTAAATCATTTCTTACTATTTCAATTATTCAAGTCCTTTTTGTTTTCCCCTACCCCTTCTAGCCCCTTCAAGTTGCAACAGATTGATTCTACTTATGGGTGTTGTAGATGGCCTTAGAATACAAGATATCTACACATCAAACCTAACTGGACCATTGATGAGCCCCACTTCAAACAAAAAAAGAAAAAAAAGTTAGCATTTCTTTTAATTGCAAACCAATTCCACATAAACAAGTTACAAACTCATAATCCTAGAAAATGGAGACTCTCCTGAATGGACCAAGCCTCATGACTTATTCTCTCTAACCTTTTCTGCGTAGGGGGTCGAGAAGATTGTGGACCCTTCCTTTCAAAATTTGAAAAATTCAGAAGGGAAAACGCCTCGAGCTTTATTTACTGAACACCACAAGGAATTGGCTGTAAAGGGAGAAAAATGGATGAAGGAAACAGCAACACCATGCATGATTGTGGCCACAATCATAGCCTCAGTGGTGTTTGGGGCAGCTTTTACTGTACCAGGTGGAATTAATGGTGATTCAGGGATACCCATCTTTTTACAGTCCAACTATTTCATGGCTTTCGTGGTATCAGATGCGATGGCGCTTTTCTTCTCAACTACTTCAATAGTTATGTTCCTATCCATCCTAACTTCAAGCTACAACGAAGAAGATTTTCTAATTGCTTTGCCTAGAACGTTGATAATTGGTCTTGGAGCTCTCTTCATCTCTGTTGCAGCTATGGTAACAGCATTCAGTGCAGGCCTTTACATTGTACTTGGTCATCGAGTTAAATGGGTCATCTTTCCAATCACTCTACTTGCCTGTCTTCCATTGTCTTCATTCGCATTATTACAGTTTCCTCTCTTTGTGAAAATTATACATTCCACATATGGGTCTCCCATATTCGAACAGAATGGTGAACCCAAGGTTTAATTGCTAGTCCTAACCTCATATATATGGATTATATTTTCCCTATTGTAGGATATATTTACCATAGTATATAGTATATATTTCTCTATCTTTATTTGGAAATCAAAAACTTCTGAATTTCATTTCCATTTCTGCTCTTTGATAAGTAATTGAGAACGGTAGGAAGCATCATTATTTCCATTTTGCTCTTAACAGAGTATTATTTAGGCTTCAATTATGATGTTGTACACTTGAGAAATGACGATTTTACATAAAAAAGGGTAAATTGCTGAAACTTACGTGAAGTTTCTACTTGTTGCTGAAACCTCCCCTAAATTTTGGTAATTGCTATCACCTCTCCTGAACTTTCTGACATAGTTGCAAGTAGACTCTGTTAGACAGTTTTGTATGCCCTTAGCTTCAATCTGATCTGATGTACTTTTGACATTTAGTGTAAATAAATAAAGTGCATGTTTGATTCATGTTGTATGATATGATTCTGTGTAAAACCCTAAAACTGGACACTTACTGAGACTCGTGTGAGTTTTAAATGTTCACAGCCATTGGATAAGTCTGGGGAGAATTATCCTGCCAAAGCTGATACTGATGTGTCAGCAAGTGTTGGGATGGCTCGTCTCAGCCACCAGGGTAAGACCCAAGCAACATGCAGTATGGGATTACTCGAATCCTTGAACCGTACCAGATTTCCGGTATTGCCCTGGACCTTAGAGATAGATGGGCAAAACTGGAAAGTTACACCTGACCCCTAGACTCGATTATGATACTTCACTAGATGTCAGATTGGGCAGTCTTTGATATGCCAATCAGTGAGATCATTAGCGGGGGTCAAAACTTGGGCATGTTGGGGCATGTTAGACAGTTTTGTATGCCCTTAGCTTCAATCAGAATGATGTACACTATGAGTTTATTGTAAATTAATAAAAGTACATATTCGATTCATGTTCCCTTGGTATGTTTCTGTGTAATACCCATAAACTGGACACTTAATGAGACTCGTGTTAGTTTAGAATGTTCACAGCCAGTGGGTCGGT